TGCGGAGGTTGTGGGAATCAATGAGAGATACTTCTGAGTTCAAGCGTAAACAGTCAACAGATGACAGAGTGCTGTGACAGACCAGGAGCCTTGTTATATAAACAGCCATCATGGAGAGAGAATGCAGTCGCACCGCTCTGCTTTCGGCTGAGGGAGAGGCATCTTACTGCAGGTGCTAGAGGTCGACCAATTGATCGGCCGGACGATTAATCGGCCGATATTTGGCATTTTTTAATTAATCTGCATCGGCCGATTGTGCTGCAGATTAGGCCGATTTATAGGCAGGCGCATCTGCGGGCAGCTAAGCGTTGTTGCGGAACACCGGAGAATCTCTCTCTGGCTGCGTGAGAGACGGAGCAGCTCACACTCTGCAGCCGCTTCTTGTTCACACACAGCTTCAGCTAATGATGGCAGGGCAAAAACAGATAGTTTCAAAAGCGTAATTATGTTTTACCCTACTAGAATTGATGCCGGAAAGTTATCATATTCATAAGTGCAACAAGTGAAAGTAGAAACTATGCAGTTCAGACAAAACTTCTGGACTGATTATAACGTGCACGTTAACTTTCCTCGTGAAATGTGTGTGTAGGTCTGACAATAGCATCCACTATGTCATCGCTCGTGGCCAGTGCACTCTTAAGCAGTTACGAGCAGCAGGCTGTGTAATATGTGTGAACTCTTTTATTTTTGTTATCACTTGGCCATTTGACTTAATGCAGTGTCCATTGTTTCCCATACATTGAGTTATTACTTCGTTGAATAAACTGTTTCAAAATTAAAATGCAGCGCAGGTGTTTTTATATGAATGTATCTTTGAAAAGAACTGACCGTCTTCAGAAAAGCTTCGGTGTCATTTTCATTTCGTCTTTCCTGTAATGCCTGATAAAGTAGCGTTTGTGAGCGCAGTGCTTATTTGATTACAACTGTTACCGGGGAAACCGCTATATTTCCCACTCCAACAGCGCCTCCTGCTGGCGGAGAATGAATTTGCATTTGCAAGTCTGTGGGAAACACTGGTGTCTGTCAGCAAACATAAACAAAAAGCATTCTTCAGAACTGTTTTGAGAAGGTGCTTAAATTTTGAGCCATTTATTATTATGAATTAGGCTACTACTACTATTACTATCTTGTACCCAGCAATAATCATTTACTCAAACTCACTTTTGAGATGAATGGGGCAAAAAAAAAGAAAATTGGCCAAACATATCGGCCAGAAAAATCGGCATCATATATTGGTCATTGGCTGCCCTGATTTCTAAATATCGGCATCGGCATCGGCCAGTGAAAAACCCATATCGGTCGACCTCTAGCAGGTGCCGTCTAGGGGTGTGCGATATATATCGTCTGCAATAATATCGTAATTGTTGTTTTAACGATGTGCTATTTGACATTATCGATTATTTTGCAAAAACCATTCAAAACACTCCTACAGAGTGCACGCATACATTACGTGAAGTCTAGACTAGTGCGAGTGCGCATTTAGAGTGCGTACTTTCACTGCGTGATTCAGTCTATTATAATGCATTTAGAATGATCACAAATTCAAGACATGATGGCAGAAAATTTATATATTTATACCACTTCATATAGTTATTCAATTACACACGAAGAGTGCCGTTTTTCTCCAAAAATTACCATGATTACAAATGTGACATTGAATTCAATAAACAATAAGTTAATTAAGAGACTTACGTTTTAGACACCATATTGCTTTGTTTTTGCTCTATTTCGCCAACAAAAATCATTCCGAATACAGCCACAGTGCTGTTTTGTGTCTCTGAGCAACATGAGGTGTTTCGTTCTTGAATGAATCAACCGTTTAAATGATTCGGTTCAATCGCAATGACTCACTTATTAAGAGTGATTTTCTGCCACCTGCTGGCGGTTTTAATTTCAAATTAAGAATTTGACTCAAAAGATAATGGACACTTTTATAAAAAATGGCTTTATAAAGGTAAAAATGCCCATAAAATGTAAAAATCAGTTTAAACTTATTGGAAAAGATTAATTTCTATCAGTATATACTGACCACCACACAGAATATGAAGAATATTAAAAACATTAGGAGTCAGCTGTCTTCGGCAGTCCTTAAGGTACCAGCACAATAACACACTCTGCAAAATATCGTCTAATTATCGTTATCGATAAAATCCCAGAAAATATAGAGATATTATTTTTTGTCAATATCGCACACCCCTAGTGCTGTCACATTCTCACTATGGGTATGTGTCCAGTACAACCCTCACACACAAGTGAACTTTAGAGGAATGAGAATCATGTCAGATGTCAAATATCAGCTCAGTTTTTATAAGCCAGTGTCATAAATAAACATGCCATCGCCTGTTATAATCACATTATTGAACAGGTGGATTTTGTGCTGCCCTGTTGCTACCACATGCCACTACGCTGTAAAAGAAAAGTAAATTGAAAATAATTAAAAAAAAATAATTGTTGGTGAAATAGAATGCTGCAGCAAAATTTGAGACAGTGACAGTGTACATTGTCACCCACACAAAGACAAAACCATCAGGATAAAGGCCTGTACACAACCAGAATGAAAACTATAATGATAACTATAGTGATGACTATATTAACGTCCATATCAACGGCTTTTATGGAGTTATGGTCTGTCAATATAACTGCAGTACATGCTTAAAAAGTGGATTTTGATTGGCTATCATCTTTCCTAGCATTCACTAAATGGAAAAAAATCACTCTGAAAATGGTTCCTATGATATATCTCCTCTATGTCATTATCGTTATAGGTATAATATATCGTTATATATCGACTTTCTTGTTTTTTATTAAAACTTTATAGTTATTATTGTTCTTCTATGTATCATTATCATAACTCAGATCACTCAAAATCGCAATAAACATTTACTTAATATTTTTTGTAATAATAATTTAAATGTTACACAAAATGGCTTAATGTACATAAATGGTAATAAATAAATAAATACATTTAAATCAAATGTGATGTATCACACAGGGATTTCTGGAAATGTTATTAATTATGATGTTGTTTATCATATCGCCCCATCAAATTTAATATAATTTTTCACATTTATACATTTACATTTATTTGTACTACGTGTATCAATAAAAACCTGGTTTAAAATCAGTGAACATACTGTTTAATTAAGAATCCATTTCCCTTATCTGAGTTTAGATAAGGAAGCGATAGGATACTTAATTGTTCTAAATACATATTTTGTGCCCTTGTCATTTTGGTTGCATTTAGGTGCTTGTAAACCCCTGACTAAGTTGTTAGTGGGCTCTTATTTACCACCATTACTTCTTGCCCCTCAGATGGCCTTATAGACCAGGACACTGAGCTAAGAATAACTGTGTGGAATGTGGTTGCAGGTCCAGTATCTCAAGAGAAGCGTGAGGTGGAGGCCCCACTGAAAAGAGAGTTTCAGTATATCAGGTGCCAATAGACCCTAATAAGCCTCAGATACAGTGAAAATAATAAATGCAAGTGTTCAACCCCCTAACCTCATGACATTTTGCCTGTTGGATGTTTTTTGGAAGGGTACATCATGTTTAACCAGAACTGCAATGGAAGATTTTCATTCTGTTGAATACATCTACCAAACAGGCACTGCACTGGGAACAGAGATCACATATGCACACACAGCATTCATCACAGCTTGCACAGGACTGATGTTTGTGACTGGCTGCTGTGTGTGCATATGTAATCTCTGTTCCCACTTTAGCCCAGCAGTTAACCCAGTTAGCCTTATTTATGAGTCCCCTTCACCCAATTAGGACTCTGTAAAAGTGTGCACTGCACTACAAAAGCACCATCCTCCATATACAACTGCATGCTTTGCGCATTCCAATGCGATCAATGGTCCTTAGCAGGTCATCTGCTGTGAATCAATGCACTCGATTTACTACTTGCGTCTGTTTGACCTGTTTCTCATCTCATTGTTATTCCCTGCTATTTTCACCCATCCAATCAAATAAAAGCTCTCTCTATATTTTTTTTCAAATGTCAACTCACGAAAAGCTTAATGGAAGCTGAAAAATCTTCTTCAAATATGATTCAGAGATGGAGGATAGAAAAATGAATGTGACTGCCTCTGTGTAATTACATCATTGGAAAAAAGAGCAGGCGGGAAGTGGCCGTGTGGAGATAACAAACATCTCTCTGTTACGCTGCTATCTCTGCATTAGTGGACTCTAAAGAAGGACACTAATGTCATTCCTGATGTCCAGTGAAATGGCAAATAGACCACGTGGATGGGAGCATGTGTGTGTGGTCTGATATCTTGTCACCTCAGGATTATGGTTTAAAAATCAAACAATGGTTTTGCTGTTATGTAAGAAAGAATTAGGGGCACTTTTTTGCATAGACACTGAAAATATTTAGATTAATGGTTGATATGGTTAGGCGATTATAGCTAAAAAAATATCTATTTCTGTGTGATGCAAATAAATCAATGACTCAGAGACGGGTTTTGAATCAATGAGACTGACAGTTTGAACTGATTTGTGGAAATAGATTAAATAAATACATAATTGAATCTGAAAAGAGTTTAATAACATGGTATAACATTGATAACATTAAATAAAAATCATAGCAAAATTATAAAATCAATGCAATTCCAGTACAGGGTTTTCTAGAATTATTATCGTTAGATTCATTAAATCTAATTAGATCATTAGATTACATTTTTTTAGTTTTGTTTGGTTTGACTTTTTAGTTTATTTTTTAGTTTTGTTTTTCATTTAATTTAGTTTAGCTTTGTTTTTGTTTTGTTTTGTTTTGTTTTCTTTTTTGTTTTGTTTTGGGTTTTAGTTTTTTTTTAGTTTTTTTGTTTGTTTTGTTTTTCATTTAGTTTAGCTTTGTTTTTTGTTTTGTTTCTCATTTTGTTTTTCTTTTTGTTTTTAAATTTTTTTATTAATTCATTTTATTTTTTACATGATTGTAGATGTGTTGATTGCATCTTCCTTTTCATTCTGGAAATAATCAATAACTGGGTGTGGCAATGGCAGATGAGCAGCATGGGTTGTTTCAGTTTGGACAGTTGGAAATATTGGCAGCATCCCAGACTGCGAGTGGTAGATCAGCCTCAGGGCTCATCCAAGACACACAGGCCCTTATTGTGTCCAGACACTCAGAGTGACCCCATTCTCAAGCTGTGTCAATCTGGTCTGCCTAAGGGCTAAAGATTTTCCCTATGAGTGTGTATAACCTTTTTGAGTTGGGGTTGGTTTCAGGAAAATAGAAATGTATTTAATGATCTCATTATGCATCTTGTAAACAAGCTTGTTTTACATGTGTTCTCAGGTTGGGAAAGAGACGGTACAGACCACAGAAGACAAGATTATGAAGAGAGACATGCCTCCAGCCTTCATTAAGTAAGACCTGTCTTTGTGTCTCTCTCCAGGCACCCGTCATGTGAACATACATCAGTTCTAATCATCTAAAGCTTTTTGCTCTTCCCGATTTTAGATTCCTGTAATGCCTGATGTCAGAGTTTGAGGTCTTTGATGTACTGACCTTGAAGAAAGCTTGAAATAATGTACAGTGTGATGGAGGTTAAATAAGGTCTTGCAGGACATATTCCTTTGGTGCGATTGCTTGCTGAGGGGCTGAGTCATCCCCTCACTGCTGAAGCTTGGGGGGGCGTTTTCCACTGAGCTTACGATGCATTATTGATAAGTCTACGCAAAAACTATATGACTGCTATCCCTAGTGTCTCCCCGGCTGTGTGAAGTGGTGTCTTGGCTGCAGATGGAGCAGTTAGTATTGAATCTGTTTAATATTGATGCAAACTGTCTGTTTGTGTGTCTTTCACCATCTTTTTCCTCACTTTCTCAGATGCTCTAAGTCAGAAAGTCACAAAGAACACAAAGAGGAGCTTGCTCCTTTGTTCCTCAAATCTTAAAGGGTAAAAAGTAAAGAAAACAGCTTTTTTTTACAAGGAAAGTGGGGAGATCGCTAGCAATGAGCGAAGAGGAGGTAACTGGGTCAAGACATTATTTTATATATTATGTATTAAATGTATTTATGTGTAATATCTATACAATTGCATAAAACATAAAAATCTAAAACATTATAAATTATAGAAAAAAATAGAATATAAATGTATAATAATATTTTTTTGGAAGTGGAGAGATGGCAAGAAATGATGGAGAGAAGAGGAGAAAACTGGATCAAAACACTATTTTATATATCATGATTTTATATTATATGTAATGATATATTCTAATGTATATTTAAATTGCATAAAATAAAAATGAAACATTATTTTTTATATTCAATTATTTTTAATAGTATATAATTAAAATCATTCATTATGTTTTATGAAATACAAAAATGTAATACATACTGTATATAAAGAGAGTGAACGAGAGAGAGATTTCTCATAAAAAATGGTAAATTATTAGGTTACACTTTACTTAAAGCCTTTATGAATAATGTATTATATGATTCATTTTAATGCATTAATTATGCCTTGTAATGCACCTTATAATGCATTGTACAGTCTCATGAATAATTGTAACCATTGTTAATACATTATAACACTTATCAATTCATTGTTACACTATGCATTTTAAATGAATTATAGCAAGATATAATGTATTACAACACACATTCTGAATAATTATAATGCATTATACACTTTAATAACACTTTATAATTAATTATACAGGCTTTACGTAAAGTATAAGCAATTATTAAATTACATTTTTTTGTATATAATATACTTTATATAGATGTATGTATATAGATTTGTAAGACCTCATGCACATGTAGTGGTGTAAGAAGGTCCATATGGACCCTGCACAGCTTCTCCTGACTCACTAATCGAGCTCCTGAGGGGAATCATTTTTCAGAAGATTGTACAAATGTGAAAAACATGACAAACCAGAATTACAAACTGTGATATGGTCATTCATACTAAGCAAGTTCAAGTTTAGTGGGAGAAAAAGATGGAGGCTAAATTTAGAAGAAATGTTTACAGTTATTAAGTGGTGTTTGCTAAGACATGATTCACTATTTTTATTGCTCATAGTTAATTAATTATAATAAGGTTTTAACTTGTGTCTGTACCATTTATGGTGCAGACATGATAATAACTCAAGTAGTGCTGCGTATCAAGGAAAGGTGTGCTTGCTATTACCTTACAAAGCGGGCATTTTAAATGAATTATAGCAAGATATAATGTATTACAACACACATTCTGAATAATTATAATGCATTATACACTTTAATAACACTTTATAATTAATTATACAGGCTTTACGTAAAGTATAAGCAATTATTAAATTACATTTTTTTGTATATAATATACTTTATATAGATGTATGTATATAGATTTGTAAGACCTCATGCACATGTAGTGGTGTAAGAAGGTCCATATTGACCCTGCACAGCTTCTCCTGACTCACTAATCGAGCTCCTGAGGGGAATCATTTTTCAGAAGATTGTACAAATGTGAAAAACATGACAAACCAGAATTACAAACTGTGATATGGTCATTCATACTAAGCAAGTTCAAGTTTAGTTGGAGAAAAAGATGGAGGCTAAATTTAGAAGAAATGTTTACAGTTATTAAGTGGTGTTTGCTAAGACATGATTCACTATTTTTATTGCTCATAGTTAATTAATTATAATAAGGTTTTAACTTGTTTCTGTACCATTTATGGTGCAGACATGATAATAACTGAAGTAGTGCTGCGTATCAAGGAAAGGTGTGCTTGCTATTACCTTACAAAGCGATTAGACTTGATCAGGCTTGGCGAATGATATCTATTTGAAATGGCTGGGCAGATGGGCTCAACTAAAGACAGCAAAAGTCTTAGCTGACACATTTGGCACCATAAACACAAGCTGGCACAGGGCTCATCAATCAGCACACATGTGGTTGGTGACAGGAAATGTGAACCTCTCTATATATAGGCTGTGTAGTAAGCACTGACACCCGGGTGGTGCCTCAGGGAGGTGCCTGTGTAAGTCTGGGTCTCCACCGCAGAATAACGATAAAGAGAGGCCTCCTCCAGAACACGTCATCATCCCGCTCTCCCGTGGGCCGTGGGGCGACTGGGATGTGCTTTAATTTCTATTAATATAGTGTTATTGAATCTGAGAGAAGATTTTACACTGCTTGCTGGAAAGCTTTGGAGTTGTTTACTGCTCTCATTTCTGGGAATTAAGTGTTTAAATGATCTTGATTTGTGATTTAGTGGGCCATTGATTTAATTGCAATTAAATCAATTAGTAATGTCACCTCCTATTTGAGTCAAATGCGTAGTTTTTCTTTTTTCCCTGAATATTACATTTATTTAGTATTATTATAGATTTATACAGTATGACTTATATATTTTTTTAGGATATTCATATCAGTTGTGATTTTTTTGTTTTTATTTCTCAGGGTGGAGAATGCCAGTGCAAAGCTGGTGGAAGCAGCTCGGATGCTGAGGACAGACCCGTACTCTGTCCCGGCCCGTGATTATCTCATCGATGGCTCGCGGGGCATCCTCTCAGGCACTTCAGACCTGCTTCTGACCTTTGACGAGGCAGAGGTACGAATGGAAATGAAGGCTATCTTGATGATGATTCAAGGCTGATGATTAATTTTCATAAAAAGTAATTGAGATAAATGATTAGCCTAAGCTTAATACACATACACTGCCATTCAAAAGAAGCTCAGTATTCAGCAAGATGCACTGAATTTACCAAAAGTGACAGTAAAAATGTTTATTATCTTATTAAAGATTTCTAATAAATGATATTCCTATGAAGTTTCCCCCAAAAATATATATTATGGTTTCAACCAAAATATTAACCACCACAACTGTTAATAAGAATAATAAAAAATGTTTTTGAGTAGCAAATCATCATATTAGAATGATTTCTGACAGATCATGAGACAGTCAAGACTGGACTAATTGCTAATAAAATTTCAGCTTTGCCATTGCAGGAAAAATTACATTTTACAATATATTAAAATAAAAAATATTTTTTTTAAATTGTAAAAATATTTCACTATATAGCTGTTTTTAATGTATTTTTGAGCAAATAAATGCGGCATTGGTGATCATAAGAGATTTCTTTGAAATCATTAAAAAATCTTGCTGACCCCAAACTTTTGAACAATATTGTACACCTGCAGAAGTTATTTACTGGGATTAAACAATGAAACATATTTTCTTGGCTTTGTGAACAAATAGTGCACAGTGGTAGAATGACATATTTTAAATAAGTGTTTTATGTATTATTCTCTTTGGTAATACTCTCTTTACACTTGACTGTTTCATGGTGTTTTTATATTCACTTTAAAATGTGCGACTGTAAAGTGCACAGTAATTTGTTTATTTCACATTTGGCAATTTTTCAGATGTTTGGCTATTAATGTGAAACTGGCAGTCAACAGTAACACATAATATGTTCTCCTCCGAAGGCCTGATTTTTTAAACTTGTCAGGATTCTGGACTGTTCTGTGTCGTGTTTTGCCCCTGTTTCTGGTCCTGTGTTTCCTTATTTGGTCCTTCCTGTTTCCATTAGGTTTCTTGATTAGTTCATCATTTGTTGCCAGCTGTGTTTAGTTAATTATCCTAATTTCCCTGTGTACTTAGGCCCCGTCCACACGGAGACGCATTTAGCTGTATACGCATAAATTTTGTATTGTATAGGCATTTCGTCCACACGGATCCGGCGTTTTGAGAGAGTGAAACCGATATTTTTTTAAACCGGGTCCCAGAGTGGATAACTCTGAAAACGCTGCCCTTGTGTTTTCGTGTGGACAGCGAAACCGTATATTTTCTGAAACGATGATGTCATCAGCCCACATCTCGCCCCTAGTCAGACACCGCTACGTCACGTAACAGCAACAAAAACAAGAACAAACACTGAACGATTGTCTTTTTATTAACTAACATTAACACAGATTAATAAATGTATTGTTCCATGTTCGTTTGTATACCGTGTGCAAGGTTTATGCGCATAGTCCAAGTCGTCTTCTCCATTTTTAGTCTGGCACATACTACATCGTTTTGTGTCGGTTTTGTGGTTTATTTCTTGATATTTCTTGAGACGAAGAAAAAAAAAAAGAATGGATTGGGAAAGCTCTGGCTTCGTGTGGACGTAGCCTTAAGTCCTAGTCTGTTCAGTTTGTGTTTGTCAGTTTTTTATCTACTCTTTGTGAACGTCATCCCTGTGCTCTGTGTCTCCCTATTTGATGATTAAAGATTCTTGTATTGTGAATTCTCCACGTCTCCTCGTTCCTCCCAGTGAATTGTGACAGAAGACCTGACCAAGTACAGTTACCTCCATGTGTTCCCTCCGTTTTTGTTTCTGTTTTTTCCTCAGTGTTTTCTTTTGTTCCCGTTGTTTCTATGGATCTCTTCCTTCGCCCCGAATTCCTCCTCCTCCTGGAGCAGGGGGAGCGCTTGCTCGAGGACCATACCAGACTGTTTCTGGCCCTCGCCAAACTTACCAACTACCCGGTCGACACGCTCTGTGTGTTCTGTGACGCTAGCCTGAACACCGCGTGCAGAGCGCCGTCGTCCAAAGATGGTCTTCGAGCGGAATTCGCTGCCTTCGTGGAGTGGAATCTGGTGAGCCAACCGATGTTTGAGAGCCAATTCCCGCTGCGATCAGCGAGCCAGCGCAAAGCCGAGTGACTGAGCAGAGGATCGCCTCTGACGTAGAGCTCAACTCATCAGTCCAGGTGCGAGAGCTGGCGACAATGCCCGCCATGAGGGAGAAGGCCGCGGACGGTGTGAGTGCAGAGAGGAGCTCCGCCCCCTGCACCGCGGCTGAGGGTGAGCTGAGTATGGCGCGGCGAAAGTGCTAAACCGAAGAGGAGAGGGCTCCAGTCCCCGAATCCAGTCCAGAGCCCCCTCCAGTGCCTGCTCCTAGAAAGCGCCCTCCAGTGCCAGGCCCTCCCACCCGCTCCTGCCTCCTCCACCGCTGTCGTCTGGCAGTCCCTCTGCTCGCCCTCAGCCCACCATCATTACGGTGCGAGCTCTGCGGGTCTGCCATCCTCCAGTGTCGCCATGGCTGGAGAATCCCTCACCTCTGCCTCCAAGGCCTGGACTCCGCCTCGGCCCGTAGACCCAGCAGCTCCACCTCGGCTCCTAGCTCTCACACCTATACTGTCACCCGTCGATCCACCAGCTCCACCGGGCTCCCTCGTCCCTCCGGCTCCGCCTTGGTCGGGCGTCGACCCGCCATCACCTCAGGACTCCGCTCCTCCGGCTGCACCTCGTCGCTTCGTACCTTGGGCTCCTTCCTCCCGCCAGCTCCACCTTGGTCCTCAGTTGCTCCGGCTCCACCGCTGATCTCCGTATCTCCACCTCCAACTCGGTCGCCAGAGCCCTCAACTCCATCCTGGCCCCCCAGATCCTCGGCATCCCCCTGGCTCGTTGGCTCTCCTTCTCTGCCTCGGGCTCCTCCGCCACCTTCTCCGCCGCCATTGGTCGGCCCCCTGGAGTCGGCAGCCATTCCTCCTCCATGGCTCCTCCCTCCGTCGGCTCCACCGTGGGTCGACATTATGGCTGTGGCCTGGGTCCAGCTGGGCTCCTCCTGCTCCAAGCCCCTCCTGTCTCCTCCCTGGCTCCTCCCTCCCTCTGGACTGTTCTGTGTCGTATTTGCCCCTGTTTCTGGTCATGTGTTTCCTTATTTGGTCCTTCCTGTTTCCATTAGGTTCCCTGATTAGTTCATCATTTGTTTCCAGCTGTGTTTAGTCAATTATCCTCATTTCTCTGTGTACTTAATTCCTAGTCTGTTCAGTTTGTGTTTGTCAGGTCTACTCGTTATCTACTCCTTGTGAACATCATCCCTGTGCTCTGTGTCTCCCTATTTGTTGATTAAAGACTCTTGTATTGTGAATTCTCCGCGTCTCCTCGTTCTTCCCAGTGAATTGTAACAGAAACTGACAAACCTAACATTTAAAAAAAAAAAATTTTGGTGTACATTGATGAGATCAGATATCGCACATTTTCATCTGGGAAATGTCATATTGAATTTCCAAAGAGGGTTTTGACTGAAAGCAAGATTGTTATCTTAACGAAGCAATTTCCTTGTGAAGAGTGATTTATGTACCGTTGATTATTTGACAGTTGGATGTGAATATTGCATGCATTCTTTCTTGTTTAACCTCATTAGATACGTGAAAGATCCTGTGTGAAATGCGCATATAGTTTTTCTAAATCTGCACTTTAAATAAAGCAAATTGGATTTGTAAAAATTTGTCTTTCTGACGAATAATAATCAGCTCAGGGCAAATCCTGAATTTAAATTCTTTGGATCATCTTTACGAAAAAGGTTTTTCTTCTGACCTATCAACATTAAACACACAGTCCCTTATCATGCATTGTAACTTACGGTCTTAATGTGCCGTGCTCCACATATCCAGCCTCCCCTGTGTGCTGCCGTGTGGGTGCAGCATAATGGAGCTCACATGGAGCACATGATCTGAGTGAGCCGCCTTGCACATAGCGTGTCTTCTATCAGCGCTGGTTACTTTTGAAGTTTCTGCTTCTTTGGGTCACAAGATTTCTCATCACAAGACAAGATACGAACCCAGCAGCACAGTGTAAATGGGCTTATAATATTTATTCAAAACCAAAAATGCTCCCTAAAACGAGTGAGAACATATGCAGATTTAGTGCCAACGACTGCTGTAGGCTACTATTATATAATAACCGAAAAACCCTATTCTAATATGTATAAAATAAACATTTCCAAGAGAGCACAGATTGTGGTGTGTATGTACATACTGGCGAGATATTAGATCATTGGTTTGTGGTGAAAGCTAACTCTGAGCTCTATTAATAGTGCTGCTATCATATTTCTCAAGGAGCTGTGTTGTTCACAGGGCACTGAGTAAGCATGATGTTATGGTACTATATCTTGTGGGTCTGCCTGTTTGTGGTAGAGACCTGCAGAATAAAACATTAGTCCTATGGGATCCCTGAAAGGATCCCTGCTTGAATGGTAGAGCATGGCGCTGGCAACGTAAAGGTCATGGGTTTGAGTCCCAGGAAATATTTGCACTGATAAAATGTGTAGATTGAGCGCACTGTAAGTTGCTTTGGATAAAAGCATTTATGCCAAAATGCATAAATGTCAATGTGTCTAAATGTGTCTTTTTCTTTTGTATCATTTGTATTTTGTGTCTTTCTAAGGTGCGTAAAATTATCCGAGTGTGTAAAGGCATTCTGGAGTACCTGACCGTTGCTGAGGTCGTGGAAACCATGGAGGATTTGATCACTTACACTAAAAATCTGGGACCAGGTACTTTATATATCCTGTTACTTCCTTTTGAAGAGGTTTAATTTATTTCTGATTTCTGAATTTAAAGTTGACGCTGTTGACATATGGCTCATGCAAGTGACTGTTTGCATGAATGGAATTCATTATTATGGTTGAATTATTATTTTCAGGTGCTTTTGTTACTTTTTTGTTATTTAAAGGTTACACTCTTTGAATGATGTATGACCATGAAAAACTGATTATTTGTTATATCTTCAGTTCAATTATTTTTTATTGTTGGAATTTCTTCCAAAATTTGTCTTGCATCTCACATCAATACACTTACACCAATTTAAACAAACAAACAATAAACACACCTTAATACAAAAACCAACAATGCAAAAATATATACACATACCACCAGAGTGCATTAATATAGTAGTTCTTTCTATTTTACAGAACCCAGGCCAGCTGAAAATTCAGCTTTGTCATCACAGGAATAAATTACATTTTACAATATATTAAAATGTAAAACAGTTATTTTAAGTTTAAATAATATTTCTCAATATGATTGTATTTTTATCAAATAAATGCAGCCTTGGTGAGCATAAACTTTTTTCAAAGGCATATAAAAATCTTACCAACCCCAAACTTTTAAATGGTAGTGTATATTTTTAGATTTTAATGTTGGATACATTAATTATAATGGATAACTTTAAATTAATCTTTAAAAATCTAATATAATTACACTGTTAAATGTAATCTTTAGCAAATCTCAAAAGGAACATCCATTTTTGACCTCTACATCGTCACTCTATTGATGTATGAATTTGTTAGGCATGACAAAAATGGCAAAGATGATTGATGAGCGGCAACAGGAGCTGACACACCAGGAGCACCGTGTGATGCTGGTCACCTCTATGAACACAGTGAAGGAACTGCTGCCCGTGCTTATATCAGGTAAGAGGCCAGCGAAGTGCTGTGTGTTCGTTTGTGCAGCTTGCGGTCTCTGTGTGCCAGCCCGTTGATATGGCAACACTGATAATTGGAGCCATTTAAGCGCCTTGCGGGGAGGGATAGATTTTTCCCTTCATCCAGTTGGCTTTCTGCTGTTGGCTCAGCAATAAATAGCCAGGTTGATGGCAGCTCATCTGCACACGCAGAAAGGCTTTGTGATGTTGGTGTTTGCAAATATGTCTACTCATATGGTGAAAATTAGTTGCCTGATTTTTGGACACATCAAATATAAACTGCACTCTGTTCTTGATTTGCACAGCAGTAGTAGATGGCCTGTGAAATGGAGGACTAACAAAATTGTTTTTTGATACCTATCAGCCATTAAAATCTTTGTGACAACCAAGTGCACCAAGAGTCACGGAGTGGAGGAGGCCTTGAAGAACAGAAACTACACGTTCGAGAAGATGAGCGCCGAGATCAACGAGATAATCAGAGTGCTGCAACTCACTTCATGGGACGAGGATGCCTGGGCCAACAAAGTATGAGCTTTATCATGCTTAAACACACGTACATTCCTTTCTACAACTCCACCTTAAAACGGTTACACTAAGTTATGTTGGCTTCAATGGGTCAAGCAAGTTAAGTGAACAATTTTCAATTAACTATGTTTATAAACTGTGAACATGACAGTGGGAGCGGTAGAGAGAAGTAAAAATCCCATTCATTATCTCCATAAAAAAAAGACTTCTAAGGGTAATGTGTCAAGCTTTCTGTGTGATTTTTAAAGGGGTCCTATTATGCTTTTTCACTTTTTTAACTTTAGTTAGTCTACAAAAAAGATCTACAAAGTTCAAAGTCCATTTCATTTACATTTACATTTAGTCATTTAGCAGACGCGTTTATCCAAATGAGGACAATAAAAGTAGTCAAAACTAACAAAAGAGCAACAATATATGTGCAAATGACAAGTCTCGGCTAGCCTAACGCAGTACACGTAGCAAGGTGTATATATATATATATATATATGCACACAAACACACACACACACATATATACATATATATGCACACATATACATATATATATACACACACATATATACACGCATATATATATATATATATATATATATATATACACATACATATATACACACACATATACAGTGGTGTGAAAATGCGATAACTGGCATTGCGTCTTTCTCATCGCTGTGGAGGTATTTTGGCCCACTCTTCTTTGCAGAATTGTTTTCATTCAGCCACATGGAGGGTTTTTGAGCATGAATGGACTGCTTAAGGTCATGCCACAGAATCTCAATCGGATTTAAGTCTGGACTTTGACTTGGCCACTCCAAAACCTTAATTTTGTTTTTCTTGAGCCATTCAAAGGTGGACTTGCTGGTGTGTTTTGGATCATTGTCCTGCTGCATAAACCAAGTGTGCTTGAGCTTGAGGTCACAAACTGACGGCCAGACATTCTCCTTCAGGATTTTCTGATAGAGAGCAGAATTCATGGTTCCATCAATTATGGCAAGTCATCCAGGTCCTGAAGCTGCAAAGCAGCCCCGGACCATCACACTACCACCACCATGTTTGACTGTTGGTATGATGTTCTTTTTATGAAATGCTGTGTTGGTTTTACGCCAGATGTAACGGGACACACACCTTCCAAAAAGTTCAACTTTTGTCTGAATTTTGTCAGAATATTTGCCCAAAAGTCTTGGGGATAAACAAGATATTTTT